ACCATTCTTGGAAAAAAACAAAAATAAAAAGGCAAGGATGTGAGCGGACACTGCACTGCTTCAAGGAGGACAGACACTGAGGGCAAAAAGCCAGTCAAAAGCTTCGAGATGAAGGAAATGAAAAGGAGAGCCACCGGGAGCGTCTCACCCATTCTGAGGTCTGTTATTAGAAACAAACAAAACCCAGCAAAGCTACGGAGCCACATGATCATCAAACACTGGGGTGTACATTGTCAGTGATGCGGCCACTGTGGGAAGCAGCTTATGGCTCCTGAACAGGTCAAACTTGGGCTGGGCATGGTGGCATACACCTTTGATCCCAACAGTAAGGAGGAAGAGGCAAGAGGGTCTCTGTAAGATTGAGGCCAGACTGGTCTGCATGGCAAATGTGAGACCAGCAGGGGCTACAGGGAGACTCTGTCTCAAACAAACAAACAAACAAACAAACAAAGCCAAGGAGCTAGAGAGATGGTGCAGTTGGCAAAGTGATGTAGAGTTGGTTGGGTGCATGGAGAGATGGTCAGGACCATGGATGAACAAAGAATACTCCCATAGGGGCTGGAAAGAAGGTGTAGCAGTTAGGATCACTGACTGCTCTTACAAAGGACCCATGGTCAGTTCCCAGCACCCACATGGTGGCTCACAACCACCTGTAACTCCAGTTCCCAGGGATCTAATGCTCTCTTCTGGCCTCCTTGGGCACCAGGAATGCAGGTGGTACACATACATACATGCAGGCACTCACACATATACATAAAACAAAATAAACCTTTTTAAAAATCCCCCAATACAAAACTCTCTGACACAACTGGGCATTTGTGTTTCAGTTCTGGTAGACAAATATTTTCAGTATGACTTGCTTAATTCAGTATGACAAGCTTATCTCTTGCTTTCCACCCAGCAGTGAAAAAGAGAGTATGCAATTAACACACGGAAATAGCTTGATGCCAGAGGGCACTGACCTCCTAAGAGCCTAGGGCACACCCAGTCCCCTGCCACCACTGACCTTCAGCCTCACGCTCCTATGCCCAGTACATCACCCCGGCTTGCCCAGGCACAGTTTACCATCAGTTCCCTCACTGCTTGCCCCTCCACCCCAGCCTGCCCTTGCCTGAGCCCTGTGCTCCAGCAGACTGGGACCATGAGGTTGACCAGACCCCCAGGCATCCCCTACCCCTGTATTATGGACTGTAGAAGGCCAAGAGGGCATCGCTGCGTCTCAAAGTCACACAGGCCTGGTACACAGTAGGCCCCAGAGGGAATGAACTTATGCCTACACAAGCAGGGAAGTGCTGACCTGCGTGTGGGTCCACAGGGAGTGGACCTTTGGGCTTCCCAGAGGTCCACCCCTCACAGAGACACCCAGAGCTGCGGAGTTTGTGACTTCACAGGAGGGGCTGTTGGGGGGCTGTGCCCAGGTCAGGGTCCACAGTGATTCATGCTCTATGATCCCCAAGATCATAAACGGTGCAGACTAAAGCCATGGGGAGGAGGGTGCCCACCCATGGGGAGAAGGAAGGGCAGGCTGGGCACTCAGGTTGGCCACTGGGATCAAAGTCCTGAAAAAAACCCTAAGTGGACTTGGGGCAAGATTGGCCAAGGACTAGGAGAGGCTGAATTCCAGCTCTAGCTCTGCCTCCCACTGTCCCATCCCTGGGCCTCAGTTTCCTTAACTGCAGAAAAACTCCCAAGAGCAAAACACCCCCTTTTCCAGCAAGAGAATGTGACAGCATGGGATGGCAGATATACATTACAGCAGTAAGCACATAAGAACTCTCAGAGGGCTGGTGCTGAGGTCCACAGCACCTGCCTCCCTCTGCATGCCAGGGCAGCTGGTGGGCAGTCTCCAGAAGGCCAGGGCCCAGACTCCACCAGAACTTGGAAGAGGGACTTGGGCCTGGCTCCCCATCTGTGAACTGGGGTCATCACCATATCTACCTAAGCTCCATACAAGCGTGGCACACATTAGGCATTATTACCCGTGTTGTCCTTCAGGTGCTCCAAGTGCGCAACTCACTTGCTCAGGCCTCTAGGTTAGGCAGGGCCAGGCCCATGACTGTCAGGAGAAATACCCAGGCACCTGCCCTAGAGGTCCCAGGCAGGCTTAGAGGGCAACAGGCTTAGAGGGTAACAGCCAGAACAGCCAACAATCAAGCCCAGCTGAGCAATTATTAAGTTCTCAGCCCGGGCTGCTTCCTAGGACTTGGGCATCTCCTTCTGGAAGCAGCTAGGGCATCATGCTCCTGCTGCAGGAATCAGAGAAGGGAGATGGTGAGGGAGGAGGCAGAGGGCTGACAGGCAGTCCAGCACAGTCCTGGAACAGGAAGGGCCCAGGGCCCAGGCAACACATGGGCATCTGTTCCACCTCTCCTTGATACTGTGTGGCCTAAGATAGGTGGCTAAGCCCCCGAGTCTTGCTTTTCTCCTTTGCAAATGGGATTTGTACACTCAGAGGGGGCTGGTGTGAAGATGGACAAAGCCTGAGACACAGGCCCAAAAAACAGAGGTGGGGGCTGGGATATAGCTCAGTTGGTACAGTGTTTGCCTAGTGTCCACTAGGCCCTAACATTAACAGGGTGTGGTGGCTCACGCCTGTAATTACAGCACTCAGGATATAGAGAGGAACAGAAATTCAAGGTCATCCTCAGCTACATAGAGAGTTTGAAGCCTAAGCTACATGAGACCGCCCCCAAACACACACACACACACAAATGGAGATGAACTTCAGCCCAAGTTAGAAATCCACAGCATAGTCATTTGGTGAACGAGGACAGACTAACAATGACAACATTTATCAGAGCCCCGTCACCTCACAAGGTGCTGGCACTGATTTGACCAACTCTTGGGCCTCAACTGAAGTGTCATCTGACCAAGCCAGGTCCTCTCTGTGGGACTCAGTTTCCCCATTTATCTAGAGTTAATAGATGGAAAGAGGAAGGGAAGCAGAGGGGGAGGAGGGG